CGCACAAATGCTGGGTCAGTTTTCGCTGGAGACTTTTTCTGCGTCTGCCCACTTTTCTCGCTACTTTTCTCGTCCGCTGTGGCGGAGGCTGGCTTGGTGCCTGATTCCTTGTTCGCCGAAATAACGTCTTTGACTGTTTCGGCGCCGAGCCCCAGTGCAGACGCTGGTGATGCATATGCAGCTGCTGCAGTCGCTGCAATCTTCACAACGCTAGCTGTAAGTTCTGCACCCATCATGATAAGTTGCTGTTTCATTAGGTCGTCTCTGCGATATTATTAGCGTCACTAGGCATATCTGCTCGTAACGGCGTGACATACTTGGTGGGGAATTCGTCCATGGTACGATTGTACGAGTCTAACGCATCCTTCACCTTCTTCTCCTGCGCCTGTACCCTTTCGGTCTGCTGTTTGACAAGCTTGTCCTTCTCTTCTTTGTATATGGCGTTTGCCTTTTCTTTGCTGAGTATATTCTGAAACAACGCTGCATCTGCGCTCTCCTTGTCCTGGCAGGCTTCATGTAACTCCATGATATAATTCAGCCACATGGCAAACTCCTTTTCCATCGCTACAGAGTCCTCGACGCAGCTGGAGGCAAGTGTCTTCAACGTATCTAACATTATCTCTGTCGTGTCGGGTTCGAAGGGCTCAGTTAGCAGATACGACGTGATTTTCTTGATCTATGCCGAGTTAGGTCTCGTCAACAGCCGGGATTCTGGATTATCATCTCCTCTCACCGTTGAAATCGCTTCCCTAGAATTTACACGGATTTTGGTCATGCTATTACGCGCCGTCATGAAAGACAAGCGGCCTTGGTTGGACACCTCGACCAAATGTGCGGTGAGATGCGAATACCTATTTTTTAAAAAAAATAAGAACTTGTCAACAAAGCATGTTCCATTCATCTCGTGTATTACAAGACCTACCCTTTAAGATATTTAAATCCTCCTAACGGAGGCTTGATTGTGGTGGTCCGCGCAATCTCGCTTGAGGCTACCAGGCAGCACGAGCCTAGAAGCTCAAGACAGACAGGCGCTGCACTGAGCATACCTGCCCAGTTATGGTCGACCCAGGCTTTCAGCTTGACATCTGTTCCAACTGTGGTCAGGCTTGATCGTGGACTCTCTTTTATTTTTATTTTTCCTTTCTCCAATTTCGGGGGGTCGATCACTGACCATTGATGTAGTCGCGTGCTGTACCAGGCTTCGCCGCAGCGTAGACGAGCTGACCCGCAGTAATGGAAGTGTTAGGCGTAACAGTCATGGCTATTTAGCGGTGCGAGGTATAAGTAGCTTGGAATTGTAGATACTCCTTTATGGATGAGATTCGTTCAAAGAAGGGGCAATTGTCGAGGCGATTGTTTTCAACCAGGCGAAGAAGATTCCTTGCTCTCCTTTTTAAATGTGAGTTAAATCCCCCGATCACGGAATTCTGTTAGACAGCCTACTGTTCGATTATAGCAATTGGGCTCCACCAATCTTCTCTCTGGTATCGTTACATTGTTGACGTCGTGGTTCTTGCATCCAATGATGTCTACCCACCACGATCAACGGCCCGCAGCCGTATGGCTGGCTGAAGATCACATTCTCCCAACAAAAGAAAACACCGTACGGAGTACTCTGGAGCATCTGCATCTCGTCGATCGTTCAGCTCGCTATCAAGCGGTTCCGGGCGGCGCAGCACCGATGGTGTACTATGCAGATTTGTTGGTGGTGGGGGTGTGGAAGAGGACAAAACACGAGGGGGTTGAATAAACACCAATAGAATACATAGGGAGGCAGGCAGATTCATTTACTTTCTGGCTTTTTTCTCCACTTCAGGCATTCAGGTGCAGCGAGGTGGTGCCAACGCAACCATGCACCATACTATAGAACAGAGTTTGAGTGATCCTCAGCTGAAAAAAAAGAGCCGAACGAAAGGTGGATCCATATGCACCCGGAGTACTCCGTTTACTGAGGGAAGGCGTGTGCCAAGCTGGTGTATCCACTCTCTGCCGGTTTTTGTAACATGAGCGATTGTGAGGCTATTCAACTCTCATGGCATCAGAGCACCTAAACCGTTTGGTTGAGGATATTCAACACTGGGTGTCGTGGAAAAGGCCTCACAAAACACCCCTCTCGGGGAGCTGTCGCGCGCGTGGGGGCAATCATAAGAATTTATCACATTGTCACAGCGGGGCGAGCTGGACATGTAGATCAATGAGTGGAACCGCAGAGGATCAACATTCTCTTGTACAGAGTACTATGTTACCCCTCATGCTACAGTGGGTAGCTTTACAGCGTGAAATTCACCAGCCTGTATGAAAAGTCTTGGCCATCAGTGGAGTACTTACTACTATATGGGTCCTCGTCAGTCACGCAGCAACGTAATAAATAGCGGCCTATATATTCGTTAATAGTTTCCTTCCTCGGCTCCATTCGTCTGGTACTCTCCCCCCTTTCTGCAGTATATTGCTGCTTGATAACGTGCCGAAAAAAGGAAAAGAAAAGAACCCCCCCTAACCCGATACACAATGGAGTTCGACACGTACGAGCCAGTGAACACCCTGGAACAGATCGACTCGATATACCCCCGGCTTACCGAGGTAATCAACAATGTTGACAGTCTAGCTGATGCAGAAGGTACCCTCGAACAAGCAAGGAAGGAGTCTGTACATGTCACAATTGAAGCCTATCGCGCACTCCATGAGCTCAGCAGCCAATTCCGTCCAGAACCAGTGGACGCAGAGACTTACAAGCTCGGCCCGGAGTTCCTAGAGACGGCGAAACGCGTTTATGACCTCTTCCAAAAGGCACTCCAGAGTGTTGAAAAGTGGGACGCCGACATACGTCTTTTGCACGAGAAGGTCGGTATCGTTGTCCGTTTTATGAATGCCGTTCTCTGACATCCCAGTCCAGTGCACCGAGTACACTAGCCAGGTAGCGTCCGTTACTGTCAGAGCGACTGCTGCCGACAAATTTTTGCTTTCTACACTCACAGAGCAAATCAACACGATGCACGAGGAGTTGAAGGAGAAGGGAAAGGCAATGGATGAAGCAGAATCGAAAACATTGCAGATGTACAGATTAGAGCTTGAAAAGAAAGACCCAAAAAGTGTGAGTCGGAGAATCAATCTCAACTGCGCACATACGGGGGTGTTAACAGTTGGTAGAGAATCAGAGCTCGAGACAAGATATTGGAAGATTACAAGCTGATCAGTTGGCTTGTACCGGTCGATAGAGAAGACGATGCCAACGTGCTTCGCTTAGAGGGGGAGCAGGCGGGGATCGAAAAATTACTCAGTGGCCTGAAGGACAACATCAACCTTCGGAAACAAGCAATTACCAATCTTAGCGCCCGTATAAATGACTTGAAATCAGCTCGTGAAAAACTCCTTCCGAAGAAGGAGCAGCTAAACCGCATCTCCCAAGCATGCCAGAAGACTATCGAATCACTGGTCCAAACCAAAGACAACTTTACGAAGGCCCATGCCTCCCTCGCGTATGGGACGGCTTGGGTGAATCCCACGTTTAAGATTCCGGTGGTGTCATCATATATCCGAACGGTTCTGGAGACTATCAGACTCGCGCCGCCTCTCGCTCTCTTTGATGAGACCGAGAGGATGGATTTCAATGGCATACTGAGCGGCATATGTGCCAATATGGGCTCTCTTCCGTCAGCACTCTTTGCAGAACTAGAGTCTACTGAGTTTGATTTCGGCCCTCGGGAAGAGTCGCTAGGTGTGCTTCTCGACAATGTCCGTGCTTTGGTTCAATCCAGAGGACCGGCCACACCTATTGCCCAGTAGCGGTTGCAGCTGCATGCAAGTTGGAGCATATATATAGTTCCTTCAGAAGTGATATATTATCTGGGTGAGACAAGATCTAGGTGTAATCAATGTAACTCGCACTTTAGCTATTCTATACGAGGATGCAACGCGACTTCAGTTCTACTTTGTCATTGTTAAAACTTCCCCGTGCGATTCATAGCTTAGCACAAATTTGACCGGTGGTGAACCTCAAAGCGATGTCCGAGGATAATCTCCTGCAGACTTTCCGGTAGACATGAGTGACAACATTATCCGTATGAGTTATAATCTGTACTGTACTCTCCCCATTATTTGTCGTCACGCATCCCCGGATACCAGATCACTACCACCGGTTGCGCCATGTCTGCCACAGTTTCCTTCGTAGGTATGTTGGGCACATAGAGCAACAGCACTGACTTTGATCTACCCCAAGACCTATATGTCGATCATTAATCATTGTTGGCATCAATACCATGCTGGCGAAGCACAGCATTTTAGAGAAATATATAGTCCGGATCTTGGGAGTAGTAGCGAAAGAGCTTTGTTTTGGGTTTAAAGTTGGCCACTGCATATTAACAAGCAGAGTATTTGCAATCCTCTCATGAGCTAGCTGCCAGAGGCTGCGACAACCCTATCAAACTCTACAATACAACAACCTGTACCAAGCATCAGACTTTCAAATCATATAATTTAGCCAAGAAGGCTGCCACAGCGGCCCAGAGTCCTAGTAGTATAGATAAATATAGAGCAGGCTACACAGCCATGAAACATGAGATCATCGGCAATGGAGGAGCCACAGATGCCTCCACAAGAACCCTTCTTCCTTCGCAATCAGCCACGCGCTAGTCGCACCGGGAAACGGTCAAGACCCTGAGTCGTGGCCAGTGATAATCCGCCGGAGATTACCCACAGGGCCAGCCGGTATCCTTCAGGCGTGCCGATCGGGCCGATCATTGCTGTTAAGCGCAGTTTCTGACGGCAAATTCCAGTCCGATGTGGGTACTGTCTCACATAGATGCTGGCCACATGCGAATATTATCGCTGCAAAATGTGACCCTAGCATGATAACGAAAGACCGAATTTTCTAGATCCCAAAGTCCCGTATAAATAATTCCCTGCGACCCCGTCCCAAGCCATCATCTCCTAAATCTATAGCATCTATCTTTTAAGGACCACCCACGTCGGATATAAAACAAAAACAAACCCATTCATTCACCATGAAGTTCCTCGCCATCTCCACCCTTGTTGCCGCAGTCTCTGCTCTCCCCTCCGTCCCTGCCCCCAAGGCTCAGAATGACCCCAATGCCTTCGGCGTCGTCGCCACTCGTTCAGGCTCTCCCATCCACTTCCTCACCCTGAACGCCGCCAGCTCCCACTTCTACCTCGGCGGCAAGGCCTCCACCTACTGCCCTGAGCCCGTCGAGAAGCTGGGCGCCTGCCCCCCGGGCAAGGAGACTGCTCTCCTGGGCGACAAGTACCTTGTAGGTTCTTCCTCACGCTGCATCAGCCCACAACCACTGACCCAGAATCCAGGACGTCGCTGTCCCCGGCGGCCAGAGCATCTACGTCGACCCCAAGGGCGCTCTCTCTTTCACCGCCCCTCACTCCGGCTACTTTCCCCCGGGCTCCTCGACTGAGGGCTTCGCCTACAAGCCCGGCAAGAACGGCACCCTAGGCAGCTGGACCTACAAGAACGGCTTCATGGCCTGCCCTACGACCAACAGCACCATCGTGCCCGGTAACCCCAAGTGGCAGGTCTTCGCTGCCTCCAACAACGCCACCGTCCCCACCGGCAACGTCCGGGACTGCCTCGGATTCTCGGCCGTTGCTGCGCCTTACAAGGGACCCGCCGCTGCCTGGGAGTACATCTAAACTTGTTACTCTAGGCATGTTCCTTCGATTGCCTCGACGAGTGCAAGAACCAGACATACTCGAATGGTATATACGGCCCCGAAATAGAAACATACAAGGGGGGCAGATATTCGACACGCACCATGTGAAATAACATCCTGGAGTCGAGGATTATGTATTATACGCTTCTATTCTGTGAATATGAAACCCGATCTTAATATCTAATACAACACCATGCATGCAACGATCTACCTTAAGAATCAAACAAGTAAAAGCAGAATACAATCCATTAATCAGTATAATGCTCCTCCTCCACCTCCTGGTGCTGACCCCCAAACCTCCTCTTCCCTCTCGTCACCCAATCCACCGCAATAATGGCCCCAACAACGGCGTACACCACACAAACATAATTCATATCTGTATCCTCGTTAGCACATTCCACACCCCAACCCAACACAACCCCCAATACAACCCCACCCCCCAAATACTTCATTAAAACAAAAGAACAGGAAAGAAACTTACTCCCAGGGGTAACGGGATAAACACTCGGAAACGAATAAACGACCAAACAAAACGCAGTCCAAGCGAGGACGACCCAATTACAGAAGCAGCCGAGCTTCCCCAACCAAAAGGGACCATGGGTAATGTTCCGCCTTCCCTTGTAGAGCAGGGCGATGACGGGCACGACATAGCTGGAGTACAGCAGGACGATGCACGCCGAGACCATGCTATTGAAGGCGGTCGAGGAGCCGAGATAGAGGAGACCTAGGAGGGCGACGATGGTGCAGCTGACGGCGTGGGCGTTGAGGGGCACGTCGAGGACGGGGTGGATCTTGGCCAGGAAGCGGGAGCAGGGGAGGCCGTTGTCGCGGGCGAAGGACCAGCAGAGACGGGACTGCCATGTGTGACAGGCGATCTGGCAGCCGATGCCTGTGATCAGGATTAGGGATTCGAGGGCGATTGCGCCCGGTTTGTTTTGCAGGGCTTGGTGGAAGAGGGCGAGGATGGGGACGCCGGTGGGCGAGGAGAGGATCGGGGCCAGGTCGTGGACGCTGAAGAACATGGCGATGCAGTAGAACCAGGAGGTGGTGAAGCCGATGGCGACAGTCGAGAGGATGGCGATGGGGATGGAGCGTTCGGGGTGCGAGACTTCTTCGGCCAGGTGGGTGGCGGAGTCGAGGCAGGCGAAGACCCAGTTGGGGTTGATAAGGCCGACGAGGAAGGCGAGGCTGTCGGAGGGCCAGCCGGTCGAGTTGACGAAGTTGGCGAAGACGAAGTGGGCGTTGGCGTGCGTGGGTGCGGCGGCCGGGACGTGATGAGGATCACCGCGAAGGAGATGAGTGAGATGTACAGCGTTGCGGTGGCTACGGTGGGCAGGGCTTTGCCGACGCAGTTGAAGAGGAAGGAGAAGAGGTTGATGACTTCGTAGGCGACCACGGAGTGCCAGGGCTTGGGGACGCTGTGGTTTTGGTTAGATGGGTGTTTGGGGGGGGTTTCTGGGGGAGGCGTACAAGTCTGGATGGGATAGCTGCCACATGCCGACGCCGGCTGAGCCCAGGCTTAAGGCCACACTGGCGCAGGTGAAGATGGCGCCGGCCCAGGCGAGCCATCCAGTGAGGTAGGAGGCGAATGCGGCGTATCTTTTGGGGGCGAGCTCGCTGGCCCAGAAGTATTGCCGCCGGCGTTGGGCATGGCCGAGGCCAGCTCGGACAGCGTGACGGCGACGCAGGTCGAGACGAAGGCGATCCAGGGAATTCCATAGATGGTCAATACTGTTCCACCTGATTTTATACCGGTGATCAGCGAGGCGGAGATCCCGAACCACGAGTTGGCTAGCGAGAAGGCCACGCCCAGCAAAGATATCACGGAGAAGTTCCGTTGCATGTCCTGGGTGTAGCCCATCTCGGCCAGCCTTCTCGAGTCCGCATCCAGGTTGCCCGCTGCGACGTCGCCATCGGCGGCCGTGGTGACGACCTTGTCTGCTTTGGACGTTTGCATCGCGAATTCCGTAGGGCTGTGGTGCACGGGCTGAAGCAAAGTGTAATTGCGCGGGCGCGGAGAAAATAGCGTTTTTAAAAACATTGTCAGTTACTCCGTACTATGGGCAAAAGTACAGTTGCATTGGGAGGGGCGCAAGGGGTTCAACTAGTTGCGATCGACTGGTGGTCGAGATCTGGTTGTACAGATTGATGATAAGCTGTTTGGGGCAGTCAAGTAAGGGAGGTAAATTGTTTAGGGCACGCGACAGCTGGACAATAATACAAGCGATAAGAAAATCAATCGAATTAGACAACTGGCTGTGTCCCAATGCAGTCAATAAGAGCCTTAAGTCGATAATACCACAAAACCACTGTCAACAAGCGCAGTGATATGTTCCAGCTAGAGTGCGATCGGAGCAAGCAATGACTAAGGGAATCGGTGAATAAACCAAAGTACTTAAACGAGTCCCTCCAGTGAAGCTAGAATCAAAGCTCAGTTCATTAAAGATTTCTTGTGGCCCACAAAGTAGAGGGTCGCACTTCAGACCGTGGGTCAATCAGGGAATGAGAATCTCCCCCCTTGGACAGGAGAGGGGATAGTGTCCTGTGGTGTGATGTCGATGGCTGTTCCTCGTATCTTCCCATAGGATCCTTCTCGTTAGTGGCAGGGAAAAATACGGCCGGTGTCTCTTGGCCTTTGACGGCGCCCCTGGTACACGTGGAGATCTCGAAATTTGTTGTGAAAAGAACCGCTGCACGGTCGGAAAGAAATTTTACAATATCTGGAATAAATAATTCTGCGGCTGAGATTAGAATGATTTGCTCCCCTCGCACGTCCCTTACTCGGCATCTGGGGATCAAGGGCAGCCACCCCCACGTGAGCGATAAGACAGTGAAACATAATGAAACTGATGCTTTGGTTCCTACTTTCTAGTCGAGGTTTAAAAGGTCTCCACAGACGGACCGGTCACCGAACTGTCTTTTCCCTAGTGGCTATTGGTCGGAACTCATGAAACGAAAAGGTTAACTTGATGATTCTATACTCGAATGTTGGGTTGAACCGGTGATACTACTCGAGGGGTAGACCTATTAAGTTGAGACATACGTGGTCCTCCAATACACATTACGCGAGCAAATCTCCTCGGTCTAGATTTTATTGTCCGGAGCTTCCGGAATTCGTATCTTATCTGGTTCCGTACGGAGTACATAGGGCTGAGATGCGTCTGTGACTCTGTATTGAGGGTAGTAGGAATAATAGAAAACACAATGTGGCGCCTGATATTATATTGTCCCATAGAATGTTAGAAAAAGGGGGGACCGTACCTCTTCTATGCAAGTAATATCGGCCAATATCACCTTAACTCGAATCAGACAATTCTTGTGCCATGGAAAGTTAATCAGAGCGAATTTCCCGACCCACCCTGTCTGGGGCAGGGTGCATCCATGATGAATAACCTGATATGTTGTGATACCAATATCAAGTACGACATTGTCCCTACTGAAGAGTGTAGTGATATAATAATGAACCAAGTATCACCTTCCTTGAGATAGTGACAAATGTATCCTAGATATGCTAGGGTACTCCACGGTCCCGTGATTATCCAAAGCTTAGGGTGGTACATTGCCCCTGACCAGGGTGATTCTCCTTGATAATGCCCACACCATTCTGTTAGAAATCATTGATAATTCGAGAATACTTCACTTGACTGCCCCTGACAAGAGAATGACATCCGCAACCTGTCACCCAAACTTCGCAGCTGGAGACCATCAAGCGTATATGGAATATGCCCTCGAAAAAGCCCGTCTGTCCCCTCCTGCGCCTACGAAGTTTTGCGTGGGCGCAGTGCTAGTCGATGCGGATCGAAATGAAATTTTATCAACCGGCTATTCAATGGAACTTCCAGGAGACAGACCCGGAGACCCTGGCAGCACACACGCTGAGCAATGCTGCCTGATCAAGATCGCGGAAAGGTACAACGTGACGGAAGAAGAGTTGGGTACAGTGTTGCCGAAGAACACCATTCTTTATACGACTATGGAGACATGCAGGAAGAGGTTAAGCGGTAATAGAACCTGCACGGAAAGGATTCTGAGACTTGCGAATCGAATCAAAGTTGTGTATGTGGGAATCAAGGAACCAGGGGTGTTCATCGCTGAGAACATCGGGAGAAGTATATTGGAGGATGCAGGTGTTGAGGTCAAATATGTGGAGGGAATGCAGCATCGTATCTTTGAAGTCGCTACTGCGGGGCACCAGAATTAGGGATCCTGGCTTGTACCCCACCAGCCGAGATTTGCAACATCTTTGTACGTTGCTCCACTAGGAAGAACCAGTGTCGTCCTCTCCGCTGTCCATTGTCTTCCTTAATACCTAACACATCTTGCCTGACCTGCTTATCATAGTAATCGCGGAACTCTCTTTAGATCAGAACTGAGATTCAGATAAAGCACAAGGCCAACTCCTAAGTAATGGGAAATACTAGTGACACTGCTTCTAGCTTTGACTGGGACACCACAGTTGACTCGAATGTCGTGGCGCGTGAGTTCAATACAGTCGCGAGACATACATAATACTGACGTTAATAAGACTTGCCAAAAGGATGCCATATTGTATCCTCCCAGAGCCACAGAAGCAGCTTCTGGGGCCACACTGGCTGCATCAATGTCGAACTAGCCGATAGAACACCAGCATCATTCTTTATCAAGATTGTGCCAGAAGAACGAGGCAAGAATATGGTCCATGGGGAATTCGAATCAATGAAGGCCATACATACCCTGCTTCCAGACTTTGCACCGAAGCCGATAGCATGGGGAACATACAAGGATACACCAGACATTCATTTCTTTTTATGCGAGTATCGAGAAATGGCGCATGAGATGCCGGATCCGCATAAATTCACTGCGCGCCTCGCGGCTCTTCATCAGAGCAGTACGTCACCGACGGGGCAGTTTGGCTTCCACATGACTACATACAGTGGTAATTTACCGCAAATTAATGAGTGGGAAGGTAGCTGGGAGGTTTTCTTCGCAAAGAATATGAAGATGGCGCTTGATTTAGAAATCAAGGCAAAGGGGCCAGACCCTGAGCTAGATCACCTAATCCCAATCCTCTTTGACAAGGTTATACCGCGTCTACTACGTCCGCTTGAATCAGATGGTCGGTCTGTAAAGCCGTCACTCGTCCACGGAGATCTTTGGTATGGAAACTCTGGAATTGACGTACAAACTGGCGAGTCTCTCGTGTTTGACGCCTGTTCCTTCTACGCACATAGTGAATGTATGTTGTACCACTTGACTAACACATACATAGTGTTCAAGCTGACATGTTGGGGTCCTTGTAGATGAGTTTGGCCAGTGGCGGCCTGTCTGTAACCGATTTGGTGAGGAATACTTGGCAGCATATCACTCGTACGTACAGAAATCGGCACCCGAAGAAGATTATGATGGCCGTCTAGACCTGTACAAGTTGTGAGCATACGGCTATCCGAAGCTAAACCGTCATTGAGTGTTGACCCTGTGATAGGAGATTCAATACCCAAGTCTCCGCCCTCTTTACAGAGAGTCAAGCACTCAGAGAGCAGTAAGAGTTCATTCGATTCTAGTAGGCATACTTTGCACTAATAAAAGCCGCTAGGATGCTGAACGATATGAAGGACCTTGTCCAGAGATATGGTTAAATAAATTGCCCCGTGTAGCCAAGTTTAGACTGGCCTTCTGATCAATTGGTTGCGACAATCGGAAACCAAATAAATACTTAGCCCGCAAGGTTGTCACATACCAGCTACAGATGCATTTAGAGATACCGGTCCTTTTGCGATTTGGGAAATAACAAGTGACATGGAGCCACCATATTGTCTCTGGTATTAAACTCTCATATAACCCGTACTAGCTTTCTCAAGCCCCTCAAACTGTAGCCGCCTTGTCGATGATATTACAGTCCAATGATATATGACCTCATAGAAAGAGTTTTAGCCAACCCTTTATTCTGCTTCGCATAAAATCTCAATACCATTAACGCAATAAGGCTTACATATAAGGTATGCGCCAAACTGCTTCCGATATCGCCTTGAACAAGATTAAGCCTGTATTGAGAAATTCTGCCACCAATTCTTAGCGATGCATCTTCCAACGCGAGAAAGACAACTTTTGAATGTTTGGAACACTTTAATGACAAAGCCAAGCCAGGTATCCCTCCCTAAAATCCCATCCGCAGCCGCGAGCGCTCGTTCTGTTTTCTGAACCTCTTGGTCTCTTTTCATGTCTAGGTATAATGCCTGATCGAACTTATGCGAGTCAAATAATATCGGTCCAAGATGCTGTAACCTGTCCAGCCTGGATAACTGACCCTCTAACTGCTCCTTGGCATGCTCCGGTATTCGATTATCCTCGAGCCATTTGCTGTCTTCTCTATCCCTCCAAGCTTTTGCCGATCCCATACAAGGAAGAAATCCCGAGGATATACGGTTACCGACTGCAGGAGGTCATGCCACTTATCCAGTACTTCCCAATTCACCATGGGGCTAGGCCCCGATGATGGAGATGCATGCTTAGGGATGAGTCCGATTGCCACAACGGCACAGTAGTCATCATATGCCCTTATGATCGTAGCCTCAGATGCTCCTTGCAAAAGGCAGACGATATCGCCCTCCTTGGTCAACGGTGGCAGGTCTCGGAAGTACCACGTATCTTGGGGCGATCCCTGCAAATGCATGGCTGTCATCCGTATACTGTACGATATGTGGTCACAACGTACTTCCGTGCTTACCACGCCCAGAACACAACCTTTGCCTTTAATCACCGCAATATCTTCATCATCCCAGGTCTGTACACACACTTGCTCGCCAGCATAGAACCTGATGAGTCGATCAAACACATCTTTCCACGGCAAGCTATAGTCGGGCAATAGAGATTTCGAAGCATTATTGTCAGAACCCATGTTTAGTAACGCATAGACCTTGTCTCGGCGATCAGTGGCCTCACAGTCCTTATACATAATGGCCAGTTCCGCTAGCGGACGTATGTCCAGGGAAAATCCATCGGAGCGACCAATTGCACGCTTAGGTCGCAAGTGCACATACTTTATCAGATATACTATCGAGCTGATATGATTTTGGAGGTGCGGATCAGATGTAATATCCTTCAATGCACTTAACCCAAAAGCAAAGGCATCTCCATCGATCTCTGCCGAATAGCACGTCATCAGGACATGTCGAGCGGCGGCGACTTCCTGGAGTATCTGAGACCACATCGCCAATATCCCGTGTTAATGCAGCAGACTGCTTTCTGACTCACCCAGACACGTCGAAACCACGGTCGTTCGAACAGTCTGAGAACAGCTTCCTCGTCCCTGGTGCTTTGACAACGACCTGCATCTGTAGCCCTGCGTATAACTTCCAAGCTCGACCGCCGTCATGTGAGGCCTTTTTTTGATGAATATCGGTTGTCTGGCTTTCAAGCCAGACGATTACACACTTCGCTTTAGCATATATCTTCGCCATGAGCTGGACCTGACTACCTCGCTCTCCTAAATCATCCTGGTTGATGCATACGGCATCTATCCATATCACGCGTTCAATAAAGCGATCCCGAAGGTGCAATAACGCCACGTACAGATTCGTTGTGACAGATAAGCAGCCCTTATCGAGGAAAACGATGTGAGGTTTCTCTGGGGAACCCCATACATACGACAAGGCCTCGTACCGATGGGTCCCTATCGCCGAGTCATGGAGAGGATAATCAAAGAGTTGACATTGTACTGGAGCATGTTTATCCTGATGTGGCATCAGGCGGAGTAGGCGGATATGGCCTTCCGGTAGCGGAGAATAATGGTATGGGGATGAACCAGAGGAAATTATTTCCGTCCTTTTAGAAGCCATGGGTGCAGCGAATGATTTCGATGGGATATATCTGGGAAACACCTTCGAACCTCCAGCGCTGGTGGACAATTTGATGTATGAGTCTACATAAGCGCCGCGGCTGAGCGTAACCCCGCCATCGGGCTTCGACCTGCATACCTGGTCTCAGCCTTGTGAGATTCATCTCATTTTGCCCGTTCTCGTCTGTTCCATGGATGATAACCATATTATTATCCCCTTTCTTGTTGTGTGTATATTATGTTGGTTGGTAATCGGCGTGGTTCCATCCTGCGCAACTAGTTCTACCGGAAGATGTACAGCACAAATGGATCAGCCTTGAGGATTGATCAAGTTTATGAGGATGCTCAGAGAAGAACATTCCATATCATTAGGTGAGAATGTCTAGTATGGTTAACTTGATTAACATGTTTATTCTATTCTGGATAGTCCCAGTATGCCTTGAAGAAACAACTTTCCATATAATGCCGTGATAATGATATGTAGTGAATGCCATAGGCAGCTGGGTATGTAATTTCTCGAAAAGCTAAATTACCAGGCCAACCAACCATAGTTCTATAAACCATAGCGTCTAATGCCTCAATTCTAGTCGGTGGTGACGTATCATCTCCATCCGAGCGCTGAAACTATTAATGATATTATCAAGCAAGCTATCCTACAGGAACTTGAAGAAACTCAACATCGAATGAGTTAAGCGCAACCTTGAAAATCGCATAAACAAATCATCCATTGTCAAGAGACTAGCAAGATCATCACCGAAGATCTCCTCATCGGATATGGTTGAAGATGTACATGTACATCCTTGGTCCTCTCGAGCCGGGTAGAGACCACGGCAGTTAAACAAACAACCAAGGTAATGATGACGCCCCATGTTTCAATATCATTAGTAAACCCTGGTTTATTACACGGGTAAAATCGCAGAAGAAGTAGATCGGGCTATCATTGCATCAATGTCATGATGATCAGCAGCTGCACGGAGTTTCATGACCGACGTTTGACGATCATTTAATTTCCATCATACGATTTCCCCGATCATGCCACACTAAGAATCACATCACTGACTCTCCACAACCCCAAGTCCACCAGATGTAGGACAAGATATATAACGATGCTCCTCGTCAACCCCATTCAGAACTCTAATTTCCCCAAGATTTCCATTCCCAAGCTGAACAAGTTTTACCCCATACAAAGACAATCAATCAATCTTACCCCATGGATACATCCACCACCCCGTCCGCACCGCAGCGCCCGCACTTCAAGCGGCCTGTTTACATTCCCCCCGTCAAGGGAAATATTGGTAAATGGTATTTGATCTTCACTTCTAGTCCTGTTTCATTGATCACAGGAAGAACATGGTTCTAAAATTGTCGTGAGTCCAGGTACCTCCCAGCCATGGGAATGATAGCCCTCGGTAAACCACCTCTCATCACCCTTCACCCTCAATAACTTCACCCAAACACATCCATCTAACAATACAATCGCAGGCTTTGGTGTCTACAATTACTACAACGCTCCCGCCCCCGCATACGACCCCGAGGAAGCAGAGCGCCTCCACCGAAACAAGGCACTGATGGACGCCTACGGAGACAAAGAGACCTTACAAGACATCGAGCGCGCGTTCGCCCTCTACGAGATCCAGTAGTCTCTGGTTTCTCAATGAATGATCATGATCTCAGACTGGTTCTGATAGGATAGGGTTCTGCATTTGTGGAGTTTGGGTGCTTTGATGGTAGCGAGTGGTTATTGAATTTTTATTTCCATTTTTTCTTTTTCTTTTTTTTAACGTGAGATCTGGGATCTAGGTAGTATGCTGGCATATGAGTTAATGACATCTTTTTTATTTCAGTTTTTAAGACGGTCTTGTTTGATTTCAGTGAGGTAATGGTTGTCTATTGTCCAATCGTTGGCTTTGGTAACCCTCTCTTCTGCAACCCTCAGGCCATGGAGTATGATGATGGTTTCGTAATACACTGGGTCTTGAACCCTTCTGATTCGGGGGTATACACAGCTATGCTATCTCCATTTAGACTCTATTCGTCGCCTGGGCAGAGAGGTCATGCAACGTCGCACCCAAGGACAAGACACCCCTCAATGACAGGGAATAGATGCCACTCTACCGACATTAAGTTACATATACCGACCGACCTAGGCCTCGGTCTCAACCCTCGGCCCCGTGAAATTCCTGCGTCCATCCACGATCCACTGCACAACCGACACCAGGACAATAATCCCGAATGCAACGATACAGTAATCTACACATGTCAGCAGTCACCTCAGATAGAACTAGAGAGTCGCCTAGGATGCACTTACTCATACTGCTCCCCGTCACCGGCCGAGAAGGAGGGAACAGGAACAAGACTGTCGTGAGAGCGATATAAGACAGGGAGATCTGCGTACATACATCATTAGTTGACGCCAGATCTATACAAAAAGGTAGATGCTATGAAAACTTACAATGTCAATCACCCATCCGATCGCAGTCGGGATCTGGAATTTCCGATCGGGTAACGACCTGCGTCCTCGGAGGCAGTTGACGGCGATCGGCATGGCGTAGGATAGATCCAGCGCTACGACGGACGAAGAGATGATGGCGTTGAAGGCGCTATTTTCTTAGATGAGTGTCATATCTGGCTGATGTATGTGGAACGTACCTGGAAGACCCGAGGAAGATCAGACCGAATATGATCACGACCAATGTGGTCAATGCCAGTGCGTTCAAAGGCAGTCCGAGTCCCTGATGGACATGAGCGAAGAAGCGCGAGGCGGGGAGGCCACCGTCCCTTGTGGAAGTGAGTAGTTCGTCCGGGCCATGGGGCATAGGGCTAGAGGCTCACCGAGCGAATGCGAATATCATCCGGCTGCTCGTTGTCATCACGCTGAGCAAGGCGAAGATCAGACAAACGAGGGGTAGCCTATCACGTTAGTTGACCCCAGCGATTCAAGGGTGACAAGGACAAACGTACATGAGTAGGCAGATCGCGCCTGCGGTATTCTGGGTCGCGTGGAGGAGTATCTGCAGCAAGGGCCCTGCTTTTGAGCTCACCACGTCGGTGATATCGCCTGCGACGAAGAGCAGCACGATGAGGAAGACGGAGCCGGTAAAGGTGCCGATCCCAACGCAGGTTAACATAACCTTGGGTCCTTTAACGGATGGATTCGGGATTTCTGTGCGCCAGTGAGGGTTAGTCTTGTCGCGTGATAAGGCACAGGGCTAGGTGTACCCTCGATCATGTGTACCACGGCATCCTAAGAAGATTAGAAATATAATGAATATCGGAAGGTAGAGCAACCTACAAATGCGGTGACTCCCAGTCCTCCTTGGAGAAGCTAAAGAATCAGTATGTTTCATTATCGGTGAGTCGGGATGGGAGACAAACCCCCAGTAGCCACGCCACGCCATCAGGCCCTAGTAATCATCAGCGACGTTCTATCTCTCGGGATTTGTAAACTCACAGCCAGTTTGATTCACGAATTCACAGAATACGAAGCTATCCCATCAGCCAATGAATATCAGTACCGACGGGATACTTACTAGGCAGAGTTATAGTCCGGGGAAGCGCACGCCAGCACAGTGATGGAAACCAGAACAAAACCGCCAATCGACCAAGTAACTACCAAATTAGAACCGAGCGTATACGGTCTCAGGTATACATACAAGCGCCGCGATAGATGAGTGGAAGCACGGAATTCATGAACGCGTTAATAACGAACGCGCCCAACGTGAGACCCACGTAGATAAGAAACTGCTGCCATCGCTGCCATTCAAAGTCCTAGCCACGATGAGCGAAATGTCTAACATGGAAAGATAGGCCTACCGGATAAACCGCGGAGACTACGCCCGCAATCAACTGGCTTGAAAGAAGGGCGTTGGTGGCCACCAGCGCAACCTATAGGGTTAATTTCGCTCCTAGCCTAATCTCCAACGGAGTACTTACCCATCCAGCGACGTTAACCCAGCCGGTAATCCAAGACAAGATCGGAACCCATTGCGGCCAAGACACTACCCTGTTTAACATGCGGAAAGAACCTAGTGTGTTGGGCCAACATACCAACTGACGACATTAGTGAGGATTTTATGCAAGGGATAGGCTACGTACCAGCTACCCAATGATATTGTCCACCCGCCCTTAACATGCAGTCACAGGTCAGTCTCCCTCGCTTTCTCTCCTTTTTGTTTGTTCTTTTTGCTTTTCGAAATTGCCAAGAAACTCACGTTGGGAATGCCGAGAGGAACTCAGCCAGGGAGGCTGCGATGCACAGGTTGCAAGTGCCAGCTGTTACCAGACCTACAAACCGTCAGCGATATACGACAATTTTGCATTAACATACTCACCCCAGATCACACTGGTGCTACCACCCGAGGTCAGACTGATCGATAAACTCGCAGAGAGGGCCGTCCAAGACTATGATTCGTTAGTGAGGGCTATCCAGGGATGGCCTTAACACTCACATTAAGCACCGCGAACGCTAAGCCAAGCATAGAACTATAAAACACGAATTAGCATTTAACTGGTCAGCCATATATTCTTGGAATCAGTTTACAGGGTGGAAAAATTCCGATGCAGTTCCGGCTTATGGCCCATACGAGCCAGCTGCGCATCGTCTTCCGGTACATATTCGACCTTTCTTTCCTCCATGGCGATCAAAAGAAAGTATGGGGGGAATGGAGTTGCGTGGTGGAACCGTACTTGCAGAGTTGACAGATATTAATATTGAATTAATGCTACCTTGGTTTATTGCGACACCAAGATGGAAACGGAATGTCCAACCTCGGATGCGGGGAAAGCTAGGGCTTGCCGACTTGACTGAATTAGCCTTGATAAAAGACAAGTCATCTCGCTACAACAATGCATCTGATTTGCCAACTAGAACTCAAGGTGGATCCCATCCAAGGGTCAATGTTTAGAGCAAGTGGCTCGCTCTTAATCTACTAATTAACCCACTATTTAAGCATTCTGACTGGCCCAGTCAAATGCTTATCAGCCCTGCCACATGACAGGGGGTTCAATCCGCCTGGACTTACCCATCTCGTGCTAAATTTCCTGACCACCAGTCTAAACGTCTACTGACTAGTCGACTATCATGCCAAGACTGTCCTGCTGATCACAGGCTGCTGCATATCGCCTCACGGTCGATCTGGTGAGCGGGTGCAGAGATAACCCATTCTACCAGTTGGTGAACGCCAAGCGAAGGTCATGTACCAGATATGACTTGCCCAATGTAGCCCAGTAGTGATTACAAAAGCTCTGCGTAGCGCTCTTGGATTCCGTTGAGAACCAAACATCGTGTAAGCTTTAGACAATATGCATTTCACGTTGTCAATATGTTCGAGTCTCTTGCTAGCCACAGGAACAATAAAGTCGACCTTCGCTCACGTCGCACAGCCTCCACCCGAAGATAGAATATGCACAGAAACCACAGTGGCAATCCTGTAAGACAATAATAGCCTTCTTCGTCGTGCGGCAGGGGTCTAACGTAACCCAGCGGAGGTGGAATGGCCGGTATCACGGCAGCAGTAAGTGGATCACCGAGGCTACCAACAAGCCCCGAAAAGGACGGTGGGGATAATTATTCATTGATTTAATTTACTAGCAAGCTTTATCAAACGCATCGATTCATGACTTTGTCATTTTAGAATACCGAAATACTATTGGCGGGCGCGTTTGGAGTACGGACTTCGGTCAGGACAAGACTGGAAAACCTTACGTGATAGAATTTGGTGCGAATTGGGTATGTTCATGTAGCTTTTCTCGAAAGACAATTTTGCTAAGCTATCAGCGCAGTTACACGGTGTCGGAACAAGTGGAGCAGGTAGGTGCCCTTGATCCATGTATGTGACCTTCATTAACTTCAGGAAGAGAACCCACTCGTAACACTGGTATGGGACAGAAATTTCCCTCTCTTCTATATGTAACTGACAGAATCCTGCCTTGACAGGCCAACAAACACAGACTCAAGAACACACCAGACAATTTCAGCTCCGTTCTTACCTATGACGAGACCGGCTACAGCGACTACCAGGATTTGTTAGATGCCATCAGCGACGTCAAGGATGTAGCCTACAGAAATGCGGGACAGATGCTATTAGACAATATTCAAGATCATAATGCGCGTACCGGATTTGCTCTGGCGGGCTGGAACCCCCAGCGCAGCGATATGAAGGCACAAGCAGTGGAATGGTGGAATTGGGGTACGAAGCGCATGGGAGGACAAGACGTCGCAGAAAACCCTAACTAACCAGTAATTCACAGACTGGGAATGCGCAGCAAGCCCTGAAGCCAGTTCATTCATTTTCGGAGTAGCCGCCGAGAATCTCACATTCAACCAATTTGGCGAAGATAACCACATGGTGGTGGATCCTCGCGGATACAGTACAATCATCGAACGCGAGGCGTCAACTTTCCTCCACAAAGAGGTCCAAGACCGTCGGCTCCGGCTTAACACACAAGTGACTGATATCAAATATTCCAATACAGGTGTCAAAATCACCAACAGCGATGGTAGTTGTGTCAGTGCAGCATATGCCATTTGCACGTTTTCTCTGGGCGTACTGCAGAACGATGTCGTACAGTTCCACCCAGCCTTGCCCAAATGGAAAGAAACTGCCATTCAGAAGTTCACCATGGGCACATACACCAAGATCTTTCTACAGTTTGATGAGACATTCTGGCCACCCGACACACAGTTTTTCCTCTATGCGTCGCCTACCACCCGCGGGTACTACCCGGTATTTCAATCGCTTTCGAAAGACGGCTTCATGCCCGGGTCTAACATCCTGTTCGTGACTGTTGTGGAAGAGCAAGCATACCGTGTAGAGAGACAGTCCGACGACGAAACAAAAGGGGAGGTACTCGCTGTCCTCCGCGAGATGTTTCCAAATAAGCGAATACCCGAGCCAACAGCATTCGTATATCCCCGATGGAACAACGAGCCCTGGGCGTACGGCAGCTACTCTAACTGGCCAGTGGGAACCACATTAGAGATGCATCAGAATCTACGTGCCAATGTAGACCGGCTGTGGTTCGCCGGAGAGGCGACCAGCGCGTCGTATTTTGGATTCTTACACGGTGCGTGGTTTGAGGGCCGCGAGGCGGGCGAGCAAATCGCTGCGATGTTGCAAGATCGATGCTCGACTACTCATGGTAGAGAGACCTGCGGAGATCGCACCCATTATGATGTTTTGCATGGCACGACGCCAGGAGATGCGTATACTATCATCAATGGGTGGCCGGTTAACAGCACGAATCTATAATCAGTGGACCATACCTACGATGCATGGGGTTAATACAGCACGGTAATCTTATAAATTGCTGTCAATAGATGGTTTAATTCATATAAAGGAAGATTGTATCCAGAGTACTGAAATCAATATTGCATTGGAATTAGTCTAGGCAGTTGATTCTAGAGAGTATACACCACTTTTTAAAGTGATCTAGGATTCATATCTAAGACTACTCCTTCACAGCAGCTGGGCGGCTGGCCTAATGGTAAGGCGCTAGATTTCGGCTCTAGAGATTGCAGGTTCGATCCCTGCGTCGCTCGCGCTTTCTTTTTTTTTCCATCCCTTTTGTTTTCTTTTTGCTCTCGCTTATTCTTACGTTTCTCTTGCATCCTTGTTCGTTTTTCCTCTTTTACCAATTTATAATTCTAGTCTTTCTTCTTATACCCTAGCTATTAGTAGCTCAATATAAAGTACTCTGATTGTTGCTAGTTGACGATTTGACATGTCTTCATACTCGACCGTCGCGAAAATATATAACGCAACTGCATAATGTAGGCAATGCTTACTACCACCACACCTTCCTTTTTTTTTTTCTTTTTTTTCGAATATATGTTAATCCTTAACTGCTTATTTGTAATTTCCCTCGTTCTTTATCTACTTATCTTTCTCGATATAGAATTCAAGACTCCAGTCCATGATACTGGCAATGGTAGCTGACCGCCCTTCAACAAAACATTCGGCTTCCCTCTCTGGGACTAGAGTCAAGAACTGCCGGCAAAACCTTAAGGAAACAGAATACAGCAGGCGGTCAGACAATATCCTCGAAGTATACTCATTTGACATTGTCGATAACCCTGCAGGTAAGAGGAAAAAAATAGAATAGAATAAAAGACAGAGAACGAGTATTATTGCTGCTTTGAATGTATCATGCTACGTATTGTATATTCTACCACCTGACAAAGGTTGAGCTACAGGACGGCTTGATGCTACTTTCTTTGCCTTGCATCTTCCTCTCGGAGCCCTGCCATCCATCATGTTAACGCTGTGGCTGCTAACCTAGTGCAACGAAACCTGATACATTGAAATTGCTGGAGACATACCCTGAAATACCAGACATCTATTCATACACACATAATTACATGAACCCATACACATACACATATACTCATATAAATTAATAAATACCCCCCACCAAAACCCATCCAAAACCCCACTCTATAAATTATTACACCAAACAAAGAAAAATCAGTGCTGTCTAGCATTAACACTCGGACTCGAAAACCTGCCATGAAAAACATGATACTCCGTCGTGACGGAGATGCCTTGTTCATCCACGGGCGGCGAAGCAGCATCTTTCACCAACTCATCCTCGGAATCATGTCTCGACAGCCCCGAGGGCATACCACCATGGCCATCCGTGACCGCGTTCGACGCCACCGACGCCGTCACCTTATTCAGGGGACCCGACTTCCCCGGGGCGTGGGAGTGCGACAGCTCGTATGCTCGGCTGCTGTAGTATGTCCCGTTGCGAGACCTCGAACCAAAAAAGAGTGCGCAGGACGGGCAGCGAGTTGGCGATGATTGCGATGGCGGTTTCGATCATGGACACTGTGCAAGTGATCATTTGTTTGTTTTGCCAGGAGAAGATGGCGCGGATTACTGTGTTGTGGAGAGTTTCTGGTTAGTTTGGGTTGGGTGGGAAGGGGAGTGGGGAGGGGACGGGACGTACTGCTTGTGATGACGACGAGGATACCTAGCAGGAAGATGGACATGACGCCGAGCTTTTGTTTGAAGGGCATGCGGAGGCGGAGCACTTGGGAGATTGGGAGACAGATGACTGCGGTGGTTTGTTAGTTTGTGGTTTGTAGGGTTGGGTGGTTGGGCAACTCACTGATTACATCGCTGAAGATGTTGACTGTAGTTTGGGGATTGATGTTAGTGGGGGTTTCTTATAGAGGGGATGTGTAGGCTGCGACTACGTACACAAGATGGTGATCCAGTAATTGATCCGGCTCTGCTTTTTGGAACATGCCCCTGTGTATTGTTAGCTTGCGCGGGTTCATCGACACTCGTGTGGGCAAAGCTCACGGTCTGGGTTATCCATGTCCCAAATGCGGTCGACAGGGAAGCACTTGAAGATGATATTGAGAAAGATGGTGAGCCACGTAGCGGCCAGCAAGGCGAGGATGATATTGTAGATTCGTTGGTAGTGGGTTCGATCCGCCAGCCGTTTATAGAAGCAAACCTGCATGCGCAATTGATTAGTCCACGGCCCTGATCTCTATTGCAGTCAAGTGTACGAACCATGCCAGCTTTGATCAGCCACAGAGAAGTCACATAGAGGGTAGATCCTGGAATGATCATCTATCACGGACGGTCAACATGCGATGCGACAAATCCAGTTGTCTAAGCTGCCACCAACCTTCATCATATTGATCATATCCGATTTCGACGCATTGGCCATGTCCGTCATGCCTAAACAACCAAGAACCGTCAGAAACCTTCCTCGTGCATAACCAAGCTCAACCCCACAACGTACCCCAATTGAACATGAGATGCTGGATGACCAGATCACCGATCAAACATATACAGGCCGCCGCGACGAGGTAATCGTCGATGTAAAACTTGTTGAACCTCTGCCATCGCACAACCAACCGCGTAACGAAGACGGCACATGCGACAACTGTACAGATGTACCATCCGACCTACAACGTTCGTGTCAGAAGTGATCGTCAGTTCACTGGTTCCCGTGCCGATCAATTGCGCTCCACGTGGAGGGAGAAACCAGAAAAAACAAAGCACATACCACCTGTCCGACTCCCGGGGGAGCCATGGGGACGATCTGCAGGCGTTCCCACCGTTATGAAAGAGCGAACGAAGGACTGACAGCCATTTAAACAGTTGGAACGAGGGAAGGCCGGCTGGACGGCCAAAGAGAGCGAAGGGGCCTTCACTTGTACGTTAGCGTGCGAAAGACAGAGATTTTAACACACTGCTGAGCTTGATAATACGGACCTTGTTTCTGCAACTCAAAAATCACAATTTGTGGAATCTTGCCAACAGACAAGGAATTGATTCCGCTCTCCCACTGGTCCAACTAACATGGCTCGATCAGAGAAATCTGACGATGGCGAAGCTTATTCCAAGACGGTGCAAGGGCCTGCTAGTGATACACCGATGCTATTGGGCAAGTATTAGATCTGGCTTCCACGAGCCAGTGGCATCCTTGGAAGGGTCGAAATAGTCTGCATCCATGGATAAACTCCCACGGTTCCGCCAGCTCGGGATGGCTGGGCTGAGTGGAGATGTTTCCACTTAAAACAATGGCTACATTACCGGATGCGGCCAATGCCGGGAGCACAAGCTTGGATCGTGAAGTCATGGTCTGGTTGATTAGTAACTACGCTACTCCAAATCTCCAACATGAGACGTGAGGTTACATAGCCTGCAAGATGTGCTGTGGTCTCGGAACAACATCTAATTTCCCTTTTCTCGGCGCTGTACAAACCAGCCAACAAAGCTGTTCTCTATGTTCGAGTCATAGAAATATACTTCAGCCCCCGCGCAGATTTGCACTACGAAAGTCAAATATTACCTGATAGCGGAGAATCATAATTTAAGTCTCCAGCCGGGCTATGCATACACTACTGTATACAATACGACATGGAGACCTTTACGATATAGGGAAAGGCGACCGAAATTGTGTAATTAAGAGAAAGGAGAGAGTCTAAAGACAGGAGAAGACACGAAAACAGTTAGATCAAGCGTGAACACACCAATGCAGGGACAACACTCGATCTCGATGGATGGCGCTATTCTAGAAATTCTATATGCCGAGGCTCCAAGACCGAGACTAGGCAGTCAGGTTAATGAAGGGGAAAACTTCGGCAGAATGAACTTCTGGGACGGAATACGGAGCAATCCGTCCAACTGCCCCGTTCACTCTGTTAAGGGGTTTTGTTTTTCTCCTACTCGGAACCTTCCCGGTCCGCTGTCGGATGCGTAGTTCATTTTCTAGTTTTGGTTAACAGCTCTATGTAAGTTTGTAAAGGATTTCGCCGAACTATATTTAAGGGACGGGTGGCTGGTGGCTATGTCAATGATGAGGATGGCCGAGAATTAGGGTTAACTAGGGATGCTACCCTACCGGCGACCGAAAATGTTTTCAGTCCGTGTTTCTGGGTCCATCGCCCCACTGGCTAACGTCCAGTCCAATTAACCGTTAGCCAAAGTGGAAAGTGTGGCGCTGTACCTGAATCGATCCTTCTACACGAGATCCTTCATGCACGATTTTTCTTAGCGTGAAGGCCGAAGGCCAGGTCTACCTGGGATCATGCAATCCTTCGGATTGGTGTCCACTGGCCCAAACTTAATATGGAGTAAATACGCGCAACTGCCGGTCGTATTCATATTTTCATTTATAATTGACAGCTAATTAAACCTGTGTGATGGGTATATGTCTAAATAATGCTGCATGCTAATGTCTAATTGCCGCTGAGAAAGAAATTCAGGAGGATTTGGCCAGGGTGACCGGGTTCTGGACCACAGGATACTTCGGGATGTTGGGGTTGAACACGGATTGGCAGCGGCCGTTGTAATCGCCGGTACTGCCGGTTTCCATGGCCAGCTCGTTGCCAGGGACGCCGAGCTTAGCCAAGGGTCCGTTGGTGGGCTTCGCCCGGTCCCAGCCCGGTCCGGCGCTGGGGTTCTTGATCCAGGCAACAAACCAGTTGTTCATGTAATCAGCCAACGCCTGCTGCGCGTCTGTAACGCCGGTCAGTTTCGAGAAACACTCGTTGCCTCCGTGGAAGAAAGGCACTTCGCTTCCGTGCGATGCGCCGATTCCTGGGATGCCGATGACGTTGTCGTAATCGCCAAACCAACGGTACACCCAGGTAGGCTGCTCTTTGGCACGGACGTCGATCAGGTAGTCGGTGGGACAGAAGAATCGAGCGTCTCCGTAGGAGGCGCCGCTCATGAGGGAGACCGTTTCATAGTCCGAGGCGTTGTAGGCCGCCAGGAGATCGTCCTCAGGCACATGAGCCATGTCGGCATCGAAGGTCTTGATCCATTTGGAGAAATCGGTGTTCTCGCTAGAGTAAACCATACCGAAGAGCTTGCCCTCCTGGTCGGAGTTGCCGACAATCAGAGGGACCGACTTGGGATAGTTGCCAGCGGCGAAGCGCGACTTGTAGTCCGCGAAGCGGGTGATGTTATCCACAATCGGGGAGAACCAGGTGTTGGAGGTCGAGTTGAAGTAGGAAGTCTGGATCGAGTACATGTCCACCTTACGAAGACAATCCAGGGTCGGATTGCTGGAGTCACAGCTGAGTGTAACACCGGCGGCTTCAATGTCCTGAGCCACTTGGGTCAAGCCGACGCCGGAAGGGGTGACGGCGGGTCCCGACTCGGCATTGGCGGACATTTCGATGGCGCCCGCCAGGAATGTATTGGGATGATTCCACAAGTAATGATCAACCTGCACCACGATCAGATTAGCCACCCGAGACAATATTGAGTGCCGAATGTCCCTTTCGGCGGAAGGATTTGTGAATTACTTACATGAACACTGCCGGAGGAGTGACCACCCAAAACAATGCGGGTCTTGTCACCACCAAATCCTGTGAAGGCAAAAAACGTTACCGCATGATCAAGGGACAAGAACGCTGACGACATACCTCTGATGTTGTCGTAAACCCACTGCAAAGCCATCTCGATATCGAGAATGCCAAAGTTCTGCGACTGGCCGTCGAGCTCGGGAGCGTTGGGAGAAGCATAAATGCTCTCACGGTAGTTGACGTTCACGTAGATCACATCCTTGCGAGCGAAATTGTGTCCCTGCCACTGAGCATTGCTATTGCCACCAGTGACCATCGCACCACCATAGATGTAGACAAAGACCTGTTCATTGGTTAGCGAATCTTCTAGAGAAGTCTTGATAGAGAGTGGGGGGGGGGGGGGGGGGGGAACTAACGGGTAGGTTAGAGCCATTCTGAGGGGTCCAGATCTGCAAAGTAAATTGGTCAGTATTCAATGGCCAAAGGCAATATGGATACAGGATATATTACATTCAAGTTCAAGCAGTCTTCGCCCTGAGCAACAATTTTGTTGCCGGACATAGCCTGCGCACAGGAAGGGCCATAAGAGGTCGCATCGAACTCAGCCCTAGGGGCCTTGGGCAAGCTCTGAGGAGCCTTCCACCGATTCTGACCAGCAGTCGATTGCGCAAAAGGGATTCCCAGAAAAACATTGGCATCGTTCTCCACAAACCCCTTGACCAGACCTTGCTCGGTCAAGACCGAGGGCTTGCCGTTGAAGGTGGCACCAGCGCGGCCTTCCAAAAGAGCGACCGCAGTGACAGCGAGGCAGGCTGCCCGCTCAAGAAGATCCCAGATGGCACCCATGGTGAAATCCCTTCAAGACAGGAGTATATGGTGAACCGAAAAAGGAGGAACAAGGGATGAAGAAAGTCGGTCCGCCGCTATTTAAACTAATTCTACTTTAACGCTTTCGGGGCTGGCCCGGTCGGCAGAAGAAAACCGCGTTTTGGCCTCCTTAACCCTAGTTCGAGTTCGAATCCTCCCGTTCTTTTCTACCGATTCTCCATTCTGGTTCTACCAATCGAGTGCTCCAGCAGCGTTTGACATCGGCTAATCGATTGTCTCAGCCACGTGGTAGCGATAAACTAGGCCTTGATCTAATTCAATGTAGGGCTTGGCCATCGGGTCCCACCCTCGGAGAAGAAAAGCCGTTCGCCAGACTGGTTGGGGTTTTTTCGGTACAGTATCATTATTAGCAAATATTTTTTCAGGCCCGCTTGCTCTTCCTTTTACTGTCTCTCGTGCCAACGCCCTCGTGGCAATATGGATCTGTTGGTGTGGATCTCGCGCTTCCTTTCGACGCTTCTTCGCAAATTTATCGATTTTTTTGCCCCTCCACTATCATTTCGGGTGCCATGAGGCGCCCACACGTAATAAAAACACCGTAGAGAAAAGAGAGTGTTTCTTCACATAGTCCAAGTTAACCCCAAGTCCCTCATTGAGGCAAGCCTTGGCTGCTTTATTACTCTCATCTCTTAAATATGCCAATTCTGTGCACAGACGGCCATACTCTAATATAGCCTACTGCAGATAATCTAAGCAACCGACACAGAACATGTAACCCATGCACCCACCAAGCCATTTACAATGTAAGACTCACCGAACAGAACATACTAAACTCAATGGGGAATGACATTCCTTCCGAGTAGATCCGCACGTGGGAATCGTAAAAGGTGGAGCTCAATGACTTGAACCATGGAGCCTGGAACAAGATCGAGATTTTTGATAGTGCACACCCGAGGGTTAGTTTTCGCACTAGATGCTTCGAGAGCTATCGTATTGCCTATTTTGAATAGAACGTTTCTCTCCACCCTGAGTGGGACGTGGACTATTCAAGTTACTAAATGCGAGCGCGCCATATAGAACGTCGGTCTTACCTGTTGTGGGAATCTTTACGAGGGCATAGTTCTAGGAACAGGCGTGTTTGTGTAGGGGTTATACGAGACAGTATCCTTGGTTGTAGTATTTGGGCTGCAGAGAGCGAACCATGGAAGGAAGCAACTGTAAGGCTGGGGGAAGAGAGCAGTTTTGTGGGGAAATTGAGTAATTGCATAGACACATCTTTGTGCCTCAGTTTTTGTATAAAACATTTGGGATGGAATGTCATAAGTGCATCATGTAAAAAATGTGATTTCTGGCAATACTGTTCCCATGTCCTTCATACAGAATATGTACAGGCAAAACTGCCTCAACTAGTTATATACAAGGGCTCCCCCGACCTGGGACAAGACGATTTTCCATAGCCACCAGACGAAACCACCGTGTCTTAATTCGGCGTGATAACCGATCAAGTCCCGTTCGCCGGCTGCTTCCAGACCTTTCCATCGAGAGTGGTAGTCAAGGTTCCGTTCGCATTGAATATGTTAGTCATGGCATCGATTTCCAGATGGAACCCACCCGGACTAGTCTTCTTGCTCCCGGTAACTTGTCCGGCAGACGTAAGGTCGGAAAACCAGTCCACCTTGTTTATCGTCATGGATTCGACAGTACTGGTGAACCTCTCAGAGCCGTCGATAAAATGTAATCCGTCATCGGAATAGTTGCGATAGTCGACTGCGATGGTTTTGATCGCTGCTGGAATGGCCTTGTCATGAATGATTGACACAAAAGCCGAGCCGGACACCTCTCCCTTCAAGGTGTAATTTCCTTCAGCTGGAAACGGACGGTCTGGCAGAGCACTTTCGGGCTCATATGGAACACCCCAGGGAACTTCATCGGAGACAGGAGCAACTGGTTCAAGATCCAGCGGCTCACGGCTGGTAAGGTGAGCCAGCATCAGACGGGTGACACGACCACCGGGTTCAGTAGAGTTAGGGCATGGCAGAGGGTTCTGTCCGCCGCAAGAAGGTGCAACAACCAGGTTTTCGAAGTAGGCTATGCGTGTGCCGTCATGAGACCACTTGGGGTCTGCCCCGGCGTTCCAGTTGGGGTCGTTGATGCTGCCCGGGCTGCCGTCGCCGTCGCCGTTGATTTGCTGGCCGTAGTAGTCTCCACGGTCCCCATCGTGGTCCAGGAGCCAAGGCCGGAAGAATCGCCGAGGGCCATTGTTGCGAGTGGAGGAGGCGACCGTAGTAGCGATCAGGTCGATAATCGGTGGAATGCCGCGCATGCCGGCCATGAACATCTGCCGGCCTGTCCCTCGAGTATCGAGGATCACTTGCCACTTATCATCGGGAGAGACATCCATCGGATCGACATACTCGGGGTGATCCGTGATGCGACGGACCTTTCCGGTTGTGAGATCGGCAGCGAACACGTCGATATTGCATGACTCGACGGGGTTGCCGATATATGTGACCTCTTTACCGCGTCCGGTGAATCCTCGAAGCTCGCCGACCGCAATAGCTGACCGGTTAAACACTAGCTGGTTACCTTTTGCGCTGATCGGCAGGGGGTTTTCCGGGCTATAGAGTCTGGTAATGTTAACTAGATCGTATCGTGCCGAGCGAGGCTCGCCAGTCTTCGGCGACGGGTTAAACTGCAGTCGACTAAAGTAGCCAAACTGTCCAAGTTGGCCATTGGAGAAGGTGAAGGAGTTGAATCCCAAGTGCACATTATCCGGATGTAGACGCAATTCTCGTATATCTCCCCCGGTTCCCGAGCCATCTGCCTTGACATTCCAACGGATCGGGTAGATATGCACTTTATCCGGTGTACACTCAGAACTTGCGAGCAGCTCCGAACCACAATCAACGATATTAGTCCCGATTAGGGCCCTCTTGCCATCCAAAAACGCCTGAGGATAGGGAGAGAGCTCTGTGCTGCCGACCTTGTTTTCTTCCGGTACGCCGCAGGTAATACACTTCCATGGGTCACCGCTAGGAAACTTGGTCCCATCAGCCTTTACCAGAGTCAAATGGGTGCCATTGTAAACGCTAGCCGGATCGGGTGCTGCTGGAGCCCCTGAGAAGTTTAAGCTGACAAGCACATGGTTGTTATCAGGAAGAAAATTTCCACTTTGGATCTGGGAGGATTTGAGCAGACATCCGGTCCGGTGAGGGCTGACTTCCGGAGTACAAGAACCCTCTTTACTGTCGGCGACAGGAGGCAAGGGAAGCTCGGTGACAACAATAGGCTCTGGTACGGGCGGCTTTAAGATTTGCTGGTTGGTGTCTCTGTTGCGATGGTGTACCCCGGCAACACTAGAAATGACGCCCAGAAAAGCTGTGGTACTTGCAACAACATGCATTTTGGACGATGTGATGGATGTTGAACACCAAACAGCAGGAAGTTGGCCATATTTTATAATCTGGGATGTGGAAACAATCGGCCACCACTTCTTCCGGTCAGCAGGGTTCCGATCCACAGGGGAAAGCTCTTCTCTAGGGTCTAAACATACTTCTAGGTCTAAGTATACGTGTATAGCAGACAGCAGATGAATTCGGCTACCCCGGGTTCTGAGTGGTCGATCGTTGCTGTATGTGGCAAACTGATGTCTATCGTATCCGTATTCTTTTCCCATCATGGCGGCCGTCCGTATTCTATACTAAAAGAGGCAGCGTTTACGCAGCTGAATACCTGGCAAACAGAAACACTCCGATGATCTGCAGGATTGTCACCGCTTCATTTCTGATGCATGCAACAGTGTTCAATTGTCAGAGTAGTGCTAAATTAATTATAATATGGCTAGACACCTTTTAAGCCATACAGACCGACGTGCAGACGCCAACTCCATATTGCTTCCGCATCTGGCGGTAGACTGAAATGCGCACAAAAGAATGTTTTACCGTACATCTTCACATGCTTTGGAATTCTCCAGAATGACGTTATCAGAGCTGCAGTTGATCCCTGGTTGACCTGACTAAGACGTCCTATAGGAATTGGTGCCTGAAGAGGGTTCTCATCTACCTAGTCTTACAATGGAGGAATGCGGGCACCCGGGATGTGTTACTTAAAGTATAGCATATATGTACACATTCTAGAAGAACCTCTTCGGATGATTACTGGATGGCAACCATTCTAATGCCAGTATTTTCGAATTGGCTCCTGTATGAGCTGCCAAGCCTGCTCCATCGCTTGGGCTACATTCTCAGGAAGAGGCCCCTTCTCTGAATCAGTCAAGTTACTTTCTAACTGCTTGACACTGCTCGCTCCGATAATCAAGGCATCGCCGTACTGTTTATCCAAGACAGTGTGATGTACCAGCCAGCGGTAAGCGCACTCAGCAATGGTGAGATCGTGCTTTTGAGCAGCTGCCCGGATAATCTCCAGGGCTGCGAAGGTAGTCTTGTTCCAGTAGCGGGAACTCATCGTAGAGCTCTGTTTATTGTTGGGATCGTACCGTGTCCCAGAGTCGAAGGAGGTGGTTCCAAGATGGTAACGACCGGTCAGTAGGCCACCTGCCAAGGGTTGAAAGGCATATAAGGCAATATTGTAATGCCGAAGACAGGGCAGCAACTCAGCCTCAATCGCTCTGTGAAGTGGGTTGTAGATGCCTTGGTAGACGGACGGACGAATCCAACCATGACGGTCGCAAATTTCACACATCTGGGCGACTTCCCAGGACATGAAATTACTGATTCCAAGACGTTTGAATTTGCCTTCACGGTGTAACCTGTCAACTTCTTGCATGGTGACTTCGAGTGGTGTGTTGCGGTCTGGCGCGTGAAGATACCAGAGATCCACACAGTCTGTGTTTAGCGCTTCGAGACTTCGGTTGAGTGCTCGCCGCAGATCGTCTGCTCCGAGAGTGTAAGTGTTAGGTCCAGCCCGCCAGTTTGCTGTTGGATATATTTTCGTGTGGATCCGTAAGTTCCTCTCCTGCCAACCGCTTTCTCCCAGGAGAGACTCGGAGGTGCCGTTGCCGTAGGCGCGGGAAGTGTCGATGTCACTGTGGCCATGTCGTTGGAAGACATCTAGAACGTCTCTAACTTCCTCAGGCGTGGTTTGTCGGCAGCCATCGAGCCCTGATAAACCGTCAATATCCAGTCATTCGTTGATGCACAGTGATGATAACGTACCTGCTTGGCCGACGGTCATAGCCCCAAAGACGATACTGATATTGGTGGATGCCATTGCACTGTTGATAATGACAATGCGGTTTTCCTGTACTTGTATAGATCGATCGGGTGCTTCTAACAGCAACAGTGAGCACAAGTGGGCAATTCCACTATATACCCTCAGTGGTTACTTCCGGTAACTCCGCGCAAATCTTAATTCCGTTGCTTGAAGTTCTGTCCAGGGCTTTTACGGACACGACCGAGATAGATATATACTCATACTCCACCCGAGAGATATACTTCTGAAAACCTGGACATGTAAACTTCTAGATTGTGGGTCTGTATCATTTAACGTGGTCAGCAAAATGCAGTAATCGGATTTTACATCGGAGTTAAGAGTCGTCTCTTCTCAGTTAAGAAGTCAACCACAACACTTACTGTTATAGAAAGTCTCACCATTCATCATTCATCACTATTTCTATATTACTAAGAACATGGTAAACATGCCTGAGCCGACGGTACCATCACTACCACCTCCCCGCCGAGTAGTGACCGGCCACAACACCAACGGTCAAGCAACAGTGGCCTTCGACTCCCATCTTACGCCCCAGTCTGTAGGAGATGGCACCAACTTGACGATACTGTGGTCAACGAGCGAGCACCCCGCAAATGTCAGTGGACCAGAAGATGCAGCTCCATCAGCTCCAAGCTGGCCACCCAAGGGCTCTGGAATCACCGCTTATGATATCCCCCCCAAAACAGAGGGAGTCTTCCATCGGTCTATCACGCTCGACTACGTAATAGTGGGCAAGGGAAGTGTTGTTCTGGGCCTGGAGGATGGCTCGAAAGTGACGTTGAATGAGGGCGATATGGTTGTCCAGCGAGCAACGATGCATGGTTGGAGCAACACAACCGAGCAGTGGGCACGGCTCTACAGTATGATGGTCCCGGCGCAGGCACCTATTGTGAACGGGGAAGAGCTTAAGGAGGATTGGCCTTTCTAAAACCATTTGCTTGCTTTGCTTATAGATATTTGATCTCTTATCCGAGAAATGGGTCTCTGCGCACTCGGCGAAACTGTCACTTGGACAATTTGGTCGATCTCGGATGCTGAACGAAATGTTTGTCTCTCAATATGTTACATTTGGTCACACTTGTCTTGGGGGGCCTTAATTCTGGCCATCTTGGTACAGTTATTCGATTTTCTCCTACGAGCGAACTCGAAGTCCATGATTATTCCTTGACTCTCCGCTACAGTGAAATTGGATGAGCTCAAACCACAGTTTGGTATTCTCTGATAGGCTATGGAGTATTATTTTAGCTTCATATCATCTGTTTAAGGCTTTTCTAATCGAACTCAATATTTTCACTTTTATTGTTGATAGAAAAAAGTACCATAAACATTGATTATTAACAGCAACAGCTAGCCCAATCCATAAAACACTACTTCAACAAACTAATACACAAATATAAAATCCTCGTTCTTGAGATCCGTCGTGTCCGAAAACCCCTTATCCTCAGTTTGATTCTGCTGAGGAGCGGCATTCGCATCCTCAAGTTCGACCGCCTTACCCACCTTCTGCTTGCTGAACATAGATTCATCCACTACCTGAGCCGATTTACCAAGATCCAGTCTCCGCTGCGCATGCTTCCGATTCAAGTAGATGAGGTACAGATTGGTTAGACTGGGACAGTAAGCTTCTGCGTCCAGCATATAATCACGAAACCTAAGGACTTACATCGCAAACACGCCCACAATCACGAACAAGATAAGGTTCGAGATCAATCCCGGACGGTATAAAGGAGCCTGAGATGTTGAGTAAAGCTGGGGACCGATCACCTGTTTATGATCAGCATGAAGATTTCAGACGAGAGGTAGGTTAAGACGAGCATACATTGCCGGCGCACATCCCGATCAGCACAACCGCCGACGTACACTTTCGTTTGGTGTCTCCAGCGGTATTTTGTGCTTCCCATGCGTATACCAGGGGAGTAATGCCTGCTAGGAAGGATACCTATTCTGATATTAGTCATGTCGATGAGATAGTTAAGTATGGGATGGGATTAAAGAAAGAAGCCCGCGTACCAAGTAATACCCGAAAAGAAGCACCCCCTTCTGCTCCCGGGGTACAACAATCATCAATAGTGTCCCGATAGCAGACACAATTGCAAACCCGACAATGACGAGTCCCTTGCGCTGAAACCGGGTGGCCAGCCAGCCGCCGCCTACGATGGCGATGACCTGGATTACCCCAAAGGGGATGTTGAAGAGAATGGTCTCGAACGAGCCGTATCCGAAGGATTTGATGATCAGGTTCCCGAACGTGCTGATACCACCGCTTGGGATTCTGGATGGTGTTAGCTTTGGAATTCCGTGGTTAATGGCTGGACATGATTCCACTAAGCACAGTCACGTACGAGATGGTGACGATCAGGAAAAACCAACACCAGGTTTTCATATCATACAGCGTCTCCCAGACATGGTCCCAACGCCACTCGCGGGAGACGACACCCATCTGATTTGCACGGAGTCGCTCCACAGCGATGACCTTCTCATGGTGATTGAGGCACTTGGCTTCCATGGGTGAGTCGGGCATGAAGATGAGGACAAGGAGTGAGAAGGCGACGGTGAGAAGCCCGCAGAACATGAAGATAATCTGGCACGGCTTAGTTGACATATCTCAAGCTACGTATATACTATCCAACCTTACCTGATAGGAATAGAGCGTGTCGCTGTGGATATGACCCAATCCGTATGTGAACAGACTTCCGACCTGCCAAATGCTTTGTCAGTGCCATTTCATTGCATCTGTAGATTGGGGACAGAAAACGTACGACGAATGTCACGCCGTTCATCCCATTCCAATAGGCTGTCCGCAGAGTCTGCTCGCCTCGTCTCCACCACATCTGCGTTACGGCCACGCATGAAGGCGCTGTTGTGTCTTGTTAGGATCTTGTCCCAGACAACAAGTTACTACTATATGCAGGGTAGCAACATACCTATCATCGCTTCGAACGCCCCCAAGGTAAACCTCAGTCCAAGCAAGCTAGGAAAGTCCGTACAAGCCGCCATGATGGCCAAAGAACTGCCCCACAAGAATATCGCCGATCCGATCAGTTTTCCTGTCGGAAGCTTGACAAGCAGCAGCGCTGCGATAGGCTGCATGACCAGCTGGGCCAGGTAAAGGATCGATCCCAGCCATGAGTATTGCTGTCCATGGAGGTTTGCATCCTCGACTAGTCCGAAAATGGAGACATAGGAGAGCGTGGATTTGTCGAGCTGTTGAAAGAAGTACGCTCCTAAAAGCAGAGGTAGTAAACGGCGATCGATTCGTTTTAGAACACCCTTCTCTTCTTCTGGTGTAAAGGTCCGTTCGCCCTCGTCGACCTCAGCAAGGAACCGCGCTGCCTTTTCCTTGCCCTGGTTCCGGGGTGCTTGCGGGTCTTCGACCGCGGTGATATCGTCGTGTGGTGTTTCTGCTGGACCTGCCATGATGCCTACTAGTAAATGTAGCTGTGGGGAATGACATTATCCTGGGAAAGAGTGTATTTATTCTGGCTTCGGATTCTAATATCCCGACACGAGCACAGTAGCTATTGATGGCCATGAACGTAATGACAACAATACATGGCCTCCTTTGGAATCGAAAGCCCAGTGGAGCTCTTCCCCAGACTCCAGACCCCAGATTTCCCCGCATCATATGCTGAGCCCCGATTCATGGAAAAATTGTCCATTTAGCCTGAACGAAGTCTGTGCGGGGAGTGCAGATCTAGCACCTCGGGGCATTGCAACCCGAGGACTTAAGAAGCAGCTATATCCTCCTTGACTCCAAGGTCCAACCGGTTGACACCTTTTGTTCGTCCAAGTTGTAACCTAGCCGATATAATGACCAATCTGAACGGAACAGAGCCCAAGATGAAACGATACGCCTTAATCGGAACCGGCGGCCGCGCCATGTTCTTTTATACGGCCATCGTGCGCGACTTCGGCAGCACCGCCCAGCTGGTCGCTTTCTGCGACACAAACAACACTCGCCTGGCTTACGCAAACAGTCGCATTGAGGCACTAGGCCACAGCGCCGTTCCTACCTATCTGGCCGCGGACTTCGACCGCATGATCGACGAGACTCGCCCGGACGAAATCATCGTGACCACGATCGACCGCACACACCATCAATACATCGTCCGCGCACTAGAACGTGGATGCAATGTTGTCACCGAGAAACCGATGACGATCGATGCGCCGCGGTGCCGACAGATCATCGGCGCCGTCGACCGCACCCAGAGACAGGTGCGAGTCACCTTCAACTACCGGTATGCACCGCATAACACCAAGATCGCGGAGCTGTTGAACGCGGGGGTGATCGGAGATGTCAACTCCGTGCATTTCGAGTGGATGTTGAATACCTCGCACGGGGCGGACTATTTCCGCCGTTGGCATCGCGATAAGCGCAACAGTGGCGGGTTGCTGGTGCATAAGTCTACGCATCACTTTGATCTGGTGAACTTCTGGTTGCGGACGAAGCCGGAGACGGTGGTTGCTATGGGCGATCTACGATTCTATGGGAAGGAAAATGCGGAGCGGCGGGGGGAAACGCGGTTTTACTCTCGGGCCCGGGGCAGTGATGTGGCTAAGGAGGATCCCTTTGCACTAGACCTGGAGGGCAATGAGCAGCTGAAGGCGCTCTACGCGGATGCTGAATGGGAGGACGGGTACTATCGCGACCAGAGTGTGTTTGGTGATGGCATCAATATTGAGGATACCATGGGGGTGATGGTGAGGTATCAGTCCGGGGCCGTGTTGACGTACAGTCTCACTGCGTATGCGCCCTGGGAGGGGTTTCGGGTGAACTTCAATGGGAGCAAGGGAAGGCTGGAGGTTGAGGTGGTGGAGCAGTCGTATGTGAACTCGGGAGGAGAGCAGGCTATGGAGGGCGCGCTGGAGAGTCGCACCATTCTCCTGCGGCCAATGCTGGGCAAGCCTGTGGAGATCGAGGTTCCAACGGGCCAAGGGGGCCATGGTGGTGGTGATCCCCAGTTGCTACAAGATCTCTTTGGCACCCGGTCCCCCGATCCGCTGAACAGAGCTGCGTCACATTTAGACGGGGCATGGTCGATTGCGACGGGTATTGCGGCAAATGAGTCAATGCGTACGGGGCAAGTAGTGCGTGTCAATGAGGTTCTGCAGTTGTAAGGGAGTTTCCAGCTGTGTAGCGACTTTATCACCTTGATTAATCAGTGTATCGGCATATGAAGCTGTTTCTCGTAGCTATCATTGTCATCAATGCATTCACTAGTTTATAATGGCAAGCGTGATACTAATTACCCACTTTATAATGTAGCTGCAAGTCACGGATATCCCTGGGATTTGTCAATAAGGCATATTATCTATACCACAGTCACCACAGAGCGACACGTGGGTCCGATACGTGACCTATTCATCAAGGCTGAAACATATCAATCTGCGGACTTACAATGTAGGTCAACAAGATACTACGAGTTGTTCCTATCTTCATGGCCCCAACAGTAAGTTCCCAACAATGCACCAACTGGATCTACTACAAATTCTGATATACTCAACTTGCAGGTGTGCAAAATACATGTTACTACAACCCGTCACACCAAATGCCCTACTTCTTGCACAAAGGTAACGCGCATCCTCGCGACCGTGAGATGCCCTATCTTTGCAGCAACGGGGCAAACCTGTCGGGAACCTAAGGGTGTATACCTCGGGAAAGCGATCGCATGGGGTAGTGTCTCGAGCACAAAGATGAAGGCTTCGCGGAGTATGATACTCGGTGACTCCGAGGCTTTTCAAGTGAGAAGATTAGCGAGATTTGTTATAATAATCGTCCATGTTCATCACTCGTGAGATATTTGGTATTCCTGTGCGGAATTTAACCACATAAGTTAACCCAATATGATGATCGATCTGTGGATGTGTTATGGAATTTTTCATCACTAAAGAGACTTCGGGTGTTGGAACTGGACATTCTTCCTCTATGTACAAGAGACTAAATAATAAATGGTAGTACTGAGAAGAGACATATAAGCTATAGTTGATATGGTCGAGTTGTTTTAGAGGGGATAGGAACGACACATAAGGTGTCAAAAAAAGTCTTCAATATTTAGAAGATTGTTCTACTACTATTTGAGAACTCTGGCTATGATCTTATTCTTATGAGATATTCAGTCATTTTACGTCTATTTAAGTTGAATACAACCCCCGATGCAACCCATCAGTATCCAGTGCACTCAAAACCACCTTTCCCTATCTCCATTGTGGCTCAGGAACAATCCGCTACTTTCAGCATCCAGACGTTCAATCACCTGGAGGCTCTTTCGAACACTCTCCTCAGGCTGAATCTGCCCCTTGAGTTCAGGCTCGACTGCCTGAAACTGCTTTAGCATGAATCTATCCGCTTGTACCACCTGAGTGGGTTTCTCTCCTGTGATGATATTAGTGTCCACCATTGCTGCAGCAAGGCAAAAGAAAACATACCCTCCGATGTATCAACCCACCCAGGGCTCAAAGCCAACACCTTGATACCTCTAGGCGCAAGTTCTGCTGCGTACTTGGCGACTTGGACATTCATGCCGGCTTTTGCGATAGAATACGCGACAACATAACTGATACCAGTCTTATTGATAAGATCCAAATCCGCCATGCCGCTAGAGATGTGCACAATCTTCTTCTGGACGCCCTTCTCAATCAGAGGAAGGAAGGCGTTTGTCGTCCATAGACCGCCGTAGATGCCCGTACTGAGTGCTGGATCGAAAATTGTCCGAATGGCTTGAGCATCAAAGGGCATCTGGGTCGGGTTGAAGGACATGGTGGCCCCATCAACGGCGTTGGAGTTGTGGATAAGCACGTCTAGCTTCCCACCGGTGATGGCGGCTGCAGCCGAGGCAGCCTCGAGAATGGACTTTGGGTCCGTCACATCACCCTTGATAACGTGCACGTTAGGGTGCTTGGAGGCGAGCTCAGATATATTGGGCGATTTTGGGTCTCGCACAATAGCCAGGACCGTGTTGGTCGTATCGGCAGCGAGTTGACGCACGAACTCGCGGCCGATGCCCTTGGAGGCTCCGGTGATGGCATATGAAGACATTCTTGATTTGTATTCAAGGTAATTATTTATTCCAGTGATAAATGAATTGATCTAGTACTAATGCCGTTGTGATATTCCTACGATATACTTCCTATATTTATATACATTCGGCGGATTACAAACCGTTCCCGACCGGAGGATCCGATTTTCCCGGTCCAACGGTTCATCGGCCGTCAGTCACAATCCGTCGCCCGCTCCGTTTCCTCCCCACCTCCTTACGCGACATCATGAACGCCACAATCCCTGCGGTCAAGAGGAGGGCATGTGTGGCGTGTACGGCTGCCAAGGCGAAATGCACGCCGCAGGGTATCAACCTGTGTCAACGGTGCACTCGTTTGGGCAAGTCGTGCACATACCTTGACCTTCCGCAGACGAAGCGGAAGCACAAGGCTGCACCAAGGTAATCCTTCCCAACACACATGGTATTTGTCCTATTAACTATCGATGCAGCCGTATGGATGTGCTAGAGAAGAAGGTCGACAAACTGATGTCGCAGCTGGCTGCCTTGACCCGACAGAGCGGGCAGACATCGCCGGATACTTCTAATCCGCTCACCAACGACTTGGGCTCATCTCGTGATTCCGAGCAGGATTCGAGCGACATTGCCGCGCTGATAGATGCTGCTCAAGACCCGTCCCACGGCCTCGATCCGCCGACCAGCTCTGCTCTGGAGGGCCAGCCGTCTATTGTAGATCGAGGGCTGCTGAGTGAAGCCGAGGCCGAACGCTTGGTTTCGATCTTCAAGCTTGAATTAGTGCCCAAGTTTCCCTGTGTATTGATTGCACACGATGAGGCGGCCGCTCGCCTCAGGGACCGAGAGCCTTTTCTCTTTTTGTGCGTCGTGGCCGCGGCCATGGGCAGTGCCCACCCTCTGCGCAAAACGGTCGCCGAGGAGATCATGAAGCACGTTACGTCGAGGATTGTGGTACGGTCTGAGAGGAACCTCGAGTTGCTCCGTGGTCTGCTGGTTTACAGTGCGTGGTACTCATATCCTGCAGAGCGATATCACCCGCGACTTTTGCTATTGATTCAGTTTTGTGGTTCTATTTTGTATGATTTGGGACTTCACAGAAAACCTAGTCTAAGTGTGGATGAGCAGCGGGCACTGCTGGGGACGTATTGGATGTCGGTTGGGTGAGGGTGTCTGCGCTGGTTGACGCGCTCCGGCTGACTCTCTATTAGTTTCTCTGGCACACTCGGTCGGCCGGTGATCCTGAAGCATGATCGTCGAGTCGATGAATGTATTGAGAGTATGACATCTACTGAGTATCTGTCAGATCGGTGGATTGCGCCTTTTAGCCACCTACAGTCTTTCTCGGCAACTATAGATGAAGTTTACGCTTCCATGCAAGCAAGTGGTGGAGGAGCGCTCGTGCAGGTTACGCGCGGCTCGCTGCAGCGGCAATTTGATAGCATGAGGACACATGTAGAAAAAGATCTCTTGAGCTGCCCTTCGTCAACAGGTGTGTATTGGATCCAAAGTGGTTGATGAAGATTGACCGTCCGCTGCAGAGAATGCCATACGCCTTGAAATCAAATATACGGAAATACGGCTGGAGGAGTTATCTCTTCGAGAGGAACTGTGGACTGCAGAGCCTGCCAGCGCAGTCCGGACAACCATGCTGATGGGTATAATCCAGCGAAGCAAGGAGCTCATTCAAACGAGCACAAACCTACCAGCGTCGGAGATTGCTCACATGACAATAACCACAAGTGCTCGTATATGTGCTGCAGTGGGCTACATACCCACTGCAATATTCACCCTTCTCAAGCTTATCACTGGCTCTACAGACCCTCCCATGGATGCTCAGGTGCAGGCCGTTGTTGACGCGGCAGACTATCCCAACCTTGTCACGGAGCTGGCCAACGTACTGGAGACGAAATTTGAGGGAATGTCTGCTGCAGACAAAGAGGCGGATATTGTGGGGAGCCTTTGCTCTAAAATGCGACTACTAGCACGTTGCTATCCATATCAAATCAGGGCGATTGTTGGAAATGCGCCGTCCCAGGACGGAAGACAGGATACGTCCATGATGGCAGCACACGGCAATGAGGTTGCTATAACCCCTCAAGCCTGGCCATCTATCTACAGTGATCTGGGCGACATACTCCCTGTCAACGACATCCAGTGGGATTCTCTATTGAGCAATTTCACTGGGTTTAGCTAGCATAGCTGATACCTCTATGAATTTTGGTACAAGATAGTTGATAGACTAATACATAGTTTCATGACAGATGATTGAGCCTTCGTAAACACGCCTGCCTAGTTTAGATACATAAAATTTACTGCAGTGAATTGTTAACACACATCTTGTGAGGGACAAGACAATGACCAGGTGCAACAGCTTTGGAAGTTGGCCGTCAATCCATGATACCGAACTGTAAACAAACCATGTTTCCAGTTTTGAGAAACATGACATGGAAAAGGTGGGCATATTCGTCAAACTTGACCAAAACATGAAGGATTTAAGGCCTGCAAAGGTTGTATCAGGGCCTTTTGGAATCCACAGTTATGAACCTCAGACCAATGTGTGAGGAGGATACTCGGGAACGGGTTTTCGGGTAGGGGGCCGGGTGGACGGAGTTTCCGGCTCAAGGTGGCGGATGATTGTCAACGCACTGTGGAGATAGAATCCACTAGTCGCATTGATCAGGACCATGATGGGGCAAAAGACGGGCTCTGGAAATCGGGCTTATGTGTCAATCCCGCGGGAAACCATTGAGACGGGATACGTACCCCTATCACTACCGGGAGTGAGAGCTCTCCTCTCCTCCGGTGTCCAAAATTGTCATCTATATCACCCGCACTCTCGTGGTACTTTCCTTACTGTTTTAATGGCACGGACAGAACATTAGCCGTGAATTTAATACGGCTGAGCGGACGGCAAGCCCTGTTCTCCACACCCTATAGCCGTGGGTACCAATATCGGCAATGAATAATATACTCATAGTTCAATTCGAGCGCCGCTTTGTAGTCGCCCGACTAGGTGAATCAGGCAGATCGATAACTAGCTGTAAGGGAAATCATTCTTTAATTGTGATACATAGAAATAATGTACGTTCTTCTTACGCACAAATGATTTATTGGTTCCCTTAGCTGGTTTCAGCATATCTGATTTGTGTAGGTTGGGAAATGCTCTTCTGTTTACTCCTGAGTCCTTAGGGATACAGTTTTGATAGGAAAAGTACCAAATTGTATGCCAATTCAAAGATTGAAGAAAATAAATCAAATCTTATGGTCTCAACGAAAACTTTCCAGCTGTTGAACACAAAACGTCACTAAACTAGAGACTCATACAGTCAAGATCAACACAGGGCTTCCATTCGACAGATTACGAGAGACCTTCTGGAGCCCATTCCCTTGTTGCAAGGGGTCTCCATCAAGGTTGTCCAGCAATACGATCTATGAGTTGGCCCGGAAGGACGGCTTGATCAAGGACATAGTAAAAAAAAGAACACGTGCTTCAAGCATACTATACTGCCGATAATTTGCGCAAGGCCAACCGACCTCGGGAGATATACGAGGATGACGAACGAGATTACGCTTAGCTGATGTATAGAGATATGACGTGATGGCACATACCCACATTGCGCAAGATGCGTCAGAACCATCCTGTCATCCGCATTGGGTCCTGCTCTCTTGCATATGGTGACCTATGGCAACCCGATACACATATGGTCATATCCTCCACCAAATAGAAGCCGGGGAACAGCTCAATCTAGGTAACGTGATTGATAAGCATGACCATACATGCCAAAGAAACATAGTTTCCAGTGCGTTTGTCTGCCTCTAAGATGTGGATGGTGCAAGTTTAGAGTGGCGGAAATGGTGATTAGTTTATTAAGGCGCGTGACTGGGATTGCATCCGCCACTGTCAGAGAACCCTAAGGCAGCGGACCTTTCGGCCGGATCTTGACTATTGCGCTTGGGTATATTCTGTCACTAATGGTGCAATAGCTCATGACAGGTGGAGATTATTTGTCACTACCTCGAAGTGACCTTGTCCCTGTGGAAGTGACGACTGTAGCCTAAGCCAAGTGCATTTCCGCGGTTGTCATGTCCCAAAGACTGCTCATGCTAGTATCAACAAATGTCTTTGTCACTATCTGTATGGAGATAAGAGTGATGACTTGTTTCGGTCTCTCATGCAAAGCAGATATGGCGAGCTGAACAGTTTAGCCCTCGAAGAAAGAAATACCGGATCCACAGTTATGCACGTGGCTATACTACAACCGCCATTGCCCTGAATAACAATTTGTTTTGGCTACCGAGAACCCGGAATGGTCTAGATGTTTACTGGAAGAGGTCAATGAAGATCTTACTCCAGGGGATATTATGGCGCCTTTCGAGAAACGCGAGAAGTCTTCCTTACCTGCGTGTCTATTTGAATGAGAACCTTTGGATTACGCCGCCGCTCACTCTCGACTTGCCTAGATGGACACCACCCACAGTGGCGCTTATAGTCGGAAAGTCTGTTCCTGGCTATACTATAGTACCGATGTCATCTTATGTTGTAGAATTTATCAGCGCGGAAAAGTTTAAAGCCGACCGCCGGCCGTAGTAAAGGGTGACAAGACACTCAATTCTATTTTCTAGCATTTAGTATTGATGCCAGGGGGTGTATTAGCCGGCCTCACCCTAGCTGGAGCAGGCAGTCATGGTGGCAAGTGTCATTCACTGATATACATTTGCCCTTCCAGATTCGGATTCGACGAGACCGTGGAGTTGTCGGGGCGTTTGCTACTGAAGATATGGAGGAGGTCCGTCACACAAGCCACAGATACAAACTTGATGTTAATAGAACTAGAACATGGGCTCGAATGGGCTGGAGTGAAAGCAATCCTGACAGTGTCCGTCCACCTAAGACAATCCATACTCCAGGCGAATCAAATGACGATGCTCCGGGATTTGCAGAAAGCTACCTTTAGATACCGTACTGAGCAATGTAGTAAGCCCAAACCTTAACGGTGAATCTGACATCAGCGACTATTAGAAATGC